ATCAGGACGGTGCTTCTGAGGCATAAAAACAGAACAAATTAAAAAGAAAGAAACAAACAAGACAAAACAGTCCAACAGAAACAGAATATAAATAAAAAGTATAAATTCTTCAGACAGACGGCAGCAACAGCTTCACAGTTTATTAATTACGGAGATTAAACTCTGCTGAAATACACCCAGGAAGTCCAAGGACTCCCTGGATCCTCCTGGGAGCTATTTAGTGTGTGTTTTTTTTCAGCACCACATATGACAAGCTGAGACAGAAGAGCACTCACTGCCGGCCGGAGGCGTCTGGCTCTGCAGGAAGCCCTGAGCGTCGAGCGCCGGGCTGAAGATCTGAGGGAACGGCGGCGTGAGTTTACTGGGAGTCGCCACCAGCTGCAGAGCTCTGAGGAGGAGAGACAGACGGTGAGGAGGGACGGGAGAAAAGCATCGATCGGTTAAAAACACGTCGGCCTGGAGACTCACAGAGGAGCCGACGGGTAGAAGGACGCCACGTAGGAGGCCAGGACGTCCTCGCCGCTGTGGAGGCTGTGGAGGGGCGTCGGGGGTTTGGTCCCTGGAGCCAGAGAGCTGGTGGACAACAAGACACACCAGCAGGAAACACAGGCTTTAATCTGGTGGTCGGTGGAGGTTTAACTTCATTTTCTCCATCAAACAGTAACTCCAAACAAGAAAACCTGAAAATGACTTCATTAGACTCAGTTACTAGATTCTGTGAAATTGCTAAACTTATATTTAATGGTTATTTTTATTGTTAATTAATGTGTCGGTCATGTTCTTGACTAATTAATTTGTTGTTTGGGCTTTAAAATGTCAGAAAATGGTGATCAGTGATTCTCAAATCAGACATAAAGTCTTATTTATTCAGTTTTTGAGCTCCACATTAACAACTATTGAATTAATCACCAATTACGTTGATAAATGATTAATTATTTCATAGGTTTGACTGGTTTTTCACATTAAAAAGTCTAAATTCTGTGATTCCAGCGTGTCACGTGTGAATATTTTCTGGGTTTTTTTTCTTCTTCTGCGACACTAAACTGAATGTTTTTGGACAAAACAAGACATTTATTCCTATTTTCTGACATTTTACAGGCTGAACAACTCGATTAATGGAGGAAGTAACTGTCAGTTGCAGTCAGACATTAAAATATTTTGTAATATTAGTTTGCTGTACGTATTTTGTTTTATTCTTAGAGCTCTGACCTGATCAGTTTCTGGCCCTCGAAGCCCTTCAGCGTCGCCCACTGGCCGTAGCATCGACCGTCGGCGGCCTCAGGACAGGCCGACAGAGGCTTCCAGGGCGGGGCGTCGCTGCACGCGCTCAGAGCGTCAGGCAGCGAGCCGCCGTGCATCATGGGAAAGGGCACGGCGCCGTACGCAGCCACCACCTGGAGGTCACATCACAGCGGTTAGCACGAGACTTTTACAGAGACGTCAAGTCACATTTACTCAAAAACAACATAAGTAGAGCGTTTTAAACAGCAGGGAATAAAACTAAATGACCAGAAAACAAATGTGTGTAAAATAAGAGTCGTGTCATCGATTTAAAAGCTGTAATATTTGACAATTAGAGCGAATCATCTATGATTATCGTGAGTTGAAATATGAAGAAAAGCATGAAAGGCTCCATCATTGAGCTCACATCAATAAAAGAACTGATAATGCAGAAGTCAACGACCAATACTTTCTTCTGGGCAATTTCTGCTCAACCACAAATCTGAAGTTTGTC